CCCCCACCCTTGTCGCCAGGTTCATGGCGCAGGGTGGTGACATCACCCAGGGCAACGGCATGGGGGGAGAGTCCATCTACGGGGAGACCTTTGAGGTGCGCACCCCAGCTCGCGCCGCCGCGCCCTGCGCTGCATGCCGCACAGCGCCTCAGGTGCGCGCCTGGCAGTGAAGGCGGCCGGCTGGCGCGGAGTGCGCTGCACATGTCCGAGGGGCCGCAGGTTTCGGCTGCACGCATGGGTGCAGGGCCGGTCCGGGGGCGTGAGGTCATTGCGTCACAGGCGCTACTCTCCCTCCTGCGCCTAGCTGACGCCCCCCATGCTGCTCCCTGCCGTCCCCTTCCTCATCCCCACTGCGCTTCCTCCCCCCCTGCGCACTGCCGCGACACACACACACACACACACACACACACACACACACACACGCACACGCACACACACACACACGTCCGTGCTGCCCGTCCCCCCACTCGGGGCCCCCTCATCTACAGGACGAGACGTTCCAGGGGACCCACTCCGGCCGCGGCGTGTTGGCAATGGCCAACGCCGGCCCCGACACAAACGGCTCCCAATTCTACATCACGTTCGGCCCCCAGCCGCACCTAGACGGGAAGCACGTCGTGTTTGGGCAGGTGAGCGGGCACCGGAGGAGGCGCGGGGGCGCAGACCGAGGGGTGCCCCACTTGGGGCCCCCAGGCCGCCGGGGCCGCCCGGGGGGGGGGGGGGCTGCAAGCGCAGGCTTTTTCGACGTGTCGTAGGAATTGGTGCAGCTTTCGTTGGGATGCAATGCATGATGGTGACGCCGTGCGCGTGTGCAGCCGGGCGTGCTCGGAAAAGGTCTTTCGCCCCTAACCTCGGACGTGCACATGCGCGCAGGTGGAGGCCGGCTGGGACGCGCTGGCGCTGCTGGAGGGGCTCGGCTCCAACGGCGGCGAGCCGGGCGAGAGGGTCGTTATTTCGGACTGCGGGGAGGTCGATCTGGCGGCCGACCCCGAGGATCTGATTGAGGCCTTCAGGCAGCAGCAGACGGCTGCGGATCAGGAGCAGCAGGAGCAGGAGCAGGAGCAGCAGCAGGAGCAGCAGCGGCAGCAGGAGGAGCTGCAGCAGCAGCAAGGCGCGGCGGCGTGACGCGGGGCCGTCGGATTTGATGTTGGGTTGCGGCTTGTTGGTGCTGGCGTAGGCGCACTTTCGAAGAGTAACCCATCCGGTGTGAGGGTGGAAAAGGCAGCACCTGCCCAGGGGCGTTGACGAGTTGAGTGGGGACGTGTCAGGCCGGACGGCAGCGGTGCTGCGCCACGGCTCGCAATCGGAGCGCGGCTGCTGTTTGCAGGTCGGGGTGTCTTCGAGCTGGCAAGGTGCGGGGGTGCGCCTGCCGCCACCCTGCCCCCGATGTCGCCAGTGTGGGTCAAAGGCCTGCGGTCTGCTTAAAGGTAAAGCGGTGCACCTGGGGAGCACCCTTTGGTATGGTAATAGGTTGAGCATCTCGATGGCAAGTTACGGCAGCATGAGAGTCTCTAAACTGCTCTTGGGCAATTGTCGTGGTTTCAGAGGGCCTGCCAAGGGTCCCTGGCCCTAAGACGTGCGCCGGCCGTCAGCCAAGCCACTGGTGAGCACTCTGGTATGCAGATCCCGTCCCAGTTTCCCAAGCGCGTCGCTGATTTCACATCTTGTTCGGCACGTTGCACAGACGTACACTGGGCATCGCTGCAAGGGGCTAGCGAGGTGACCGCGGACTCGTCCTGCGGCGATCCGTGCATTGCGCGCATCGTCTCACCCTTGCCTCGCTCGCTTTGTGTAGCATTCGTCTTATCTCACAATCAAATCTTTCACTATCTTCCGACCACTGGACGTTGAACGCGGTTGCTCACGAATTGTCTGTAGCCCGTGTAGTGCCCGAAAAATCATCTCAAATGATATCCAAACGCATTCGCGGCCGGTGCCAGCTTGCCGGTGCGGTGCTGGTGATCCTGGTTGCCAGCCTCATGGCGCCAGCCACCGCGGACACCGGCCCCAGTGCCGCTGCGCAGCCGGCGTCTTCTCAGCTCGCGGCCACGCCCACGCAAACAGATAGCAAGCAAGCATCCGCGGCTTCGGGTGTCGCTGTGACGCCCCAGGCGCTCGGTCAGCCGCGCATCCCAGGTGCGACCCCGGTCGCCGCAGGCCCGTCACTGTTGGTTGAGTCGTACTTGCATGCGGTCCCTCAAACGGTGCCGCGCACCGCCTGGGGCCACTGAGAAACCGCTGGGATCGGCGCTCAGTGTGTCATTTTGGGCAGTGCTGTGCGGCGCGACACGCTTTGTAGCAGGGAACCGCCAGTGCCGCATCCGAACGCTGTATGCGGAGGCGGCCCCGACCGCCTCCCCTCTCTCGCCTGTCCCATCCTGCTGCCCCCCCTCCTTCCACTTAACCCCGCAGCCTCCCAGAGGACTACCTCCCCGCTGCTGAGCAAGGAGTGGCCTCCGAGATCCCCCTTCATCCGCATCACTGAGTCGGAGCTACTGGACGTCATCCAGCCGCGCTACAACCAGCGCAACAAGGCCATCCTCACGTGCCTCGCCGCGAACGGCACCATACGCACGACGCTCACCCCCAACTCGGACCTCAACCTGCAGAACGGATACAGGGTGGAGACGCTCGGGCCGTTTGGCGAGGCGGCGCCCGGGGCGCGCAGAAACCTGACCTTTCTCTACTACCCGGTGGAGCCGCTGCCCACCAATGGGCGCGTGTTTGCCTTCTTTTTCATCCAGAACGAGTGCACCGTGCCCGGCGTCACCGAGCCGGCGCGGCCGGTCAGGTCGCGCGCGACGCTGGTGGTGACCAAGGACGCCTGCTGGGGCTGCCTGGAGAACTGCGTCAGGGGTGAGCCAGGCGGCGTTCGGCTGCGCGAGCGGCTGCTGCAGGTTGTCTGGGGCACCGGAAAAGCGCCCGCATGGGACTGCGGGTGGCATTCAGCGCGTGGCATCCCGCGCCTGCGATGGCAGTTGGGCACGCGTCATGCCTGATTTTTGTCCCTGACGTTGTCGGCAGCCCACGCGAGCTCCTGTAGGCATCCTTGGGCGCCGCTGTCTCCCACGCACGCACACAAGCGCACATGTGTTTGCAAACGCACTTTCGCTGTGAACCGCGCGCCCGCAGGCAACGGCTTTACCCCAACCACCTGCGACGTTTGGGACAGCTACTGCCCGGTCTCGTGGCCGACCACCATCCCCAACGGCGTGGCGTGGTCGGTGTCCGCCTACTTCAGCCCCGAAAACAACTCCTCGTGCTCGAATGTTGCCATCAACGCCACAAATATCTACAGGCTCATGGACCAGTTTGTGAAAGACCAGTTCGTGGCGGGCGGCCGGGACGTGGTCAACTTGTTCGGGGCCACCGCCCCGACGACGATCCTGCTGGCCGGCAAGACGCCGATCTGCCGGGTGCGTCGAGCGCGCGTCCCCGCGCGGCGCGCCGCGGACAAGGGGCGGGCTCGGGGGCGATCAAGTCAGGCGCTGCAGCCCGAGAGCAGCGCGGCCGCTTGTCCATCCCGCATGGCCGACCGGCGGGCCCCACCATGCCCGGGCCTGCCTTGCTTGCATTGGTTGGCGCGGTGTCCCGCAGGCTCCGACCATCGTGCCGTTCGGCGCCAGCTGCCACCACCACCACCACCCCCCCCTCAAGCCCTGAGCCGCTCTCCGAAGAGCACAGCCACCTTCTCCTCACCCAGTGCCTGCCAACAATCTTCCTGCAGCCAACACACCCATGAGTGTCGTGTCCTGCAAGCGTGCTGATTTACTGTTGATATAATAAACAACCGCACCCTGTCCTGAACCCCCCTTCGCGTAACAACCTTCCGCCGTCGCACCCCTCGCAGGACGCCTCATCCCTGGGGACGCCCTATGGCGTGGTGCAGGTCCTTTTGGACATTAATCCCGAGAAGAACGTCGCCGGCCTCCTCAGCCAGATGGTCACCAACTGGCACCGCCGCAACATCTGCAGCGCCATCATCATCAACACGCCGCTGGCCCAGAAGGCGCGCGTCGTGGCGGACGCCTTCTGCAACTCGGTCGGCGCGCCGGGCCCGAGGCTGCAGTGGGCAGGGATCTGCGTGCAGAAGGCCAACCCCAAGCGGTGAGGGCCCCCGCTTTGCCTGATGCGCAGTGCCGCTCTGGGGGGGCCCAGTCGGTCGTGAGCCAAGGGGCGACGACATGCGTTTTGTGGTTTTTCATGGCTTGCAAGCTGCTGGTTGGGGCTCCCGCTTCCTCGGCGTCCTGGGCATGGGATTTGCCGCACGTGGGGTTGGCAGTACCATCTGGACCGCGGCCGTGGCTTGATTGCGGTTGGTTGATTGCTGTTTGCTGGAAAACTGGGCAGCGGCTCAAAAGCTGCTCCGCACCACCGCCACCGCCCCACTCACCTGGGCTCCGTGGTCCCTCCCCCTTCCACACTGCAGCAAGTACAAAGACGGCTTTCCGGTCGAGGCTGCCTGCTTCCCGGGTGACGCCATGGTCACACTCATGGACCCGGTGACCGGTGCCCCAACGCGGCTGGTCACCATGGGCGAACTGGCCATCGGTGATGTCATCGAGTGCCTGAAGCCGGCCGGGTTCGAGTCACGGGTTACTGTTGACTACAGGGATTCTGCCCAGACTTACGTCAGGGGCGCGTGCCACGTGTTTAACTACCACGATGCCGACGCGGTTAGTAACAAGGAAGCTGCAGTGTTTGCGGGGAAGGTGCAGGGTGCTCTTGTGGAGGCAATGGTGCAGTTGGGGAACCAATACGACGCAGTGTTGCCCCGCAGTCGCCTACAGCCAGCGGCGCTCAAGGCCGCGCACACAGCCTGCTGTCTGCCTGGAGTCCAGGCTGGCCCCCGCTGGCCCTGCCGCGTCATCGCCCCTTGGTTACCGTGAAGAGGAAGCTGACGCCGCCATTTTCGACCTCCGCTCTTGTACTTACATTCGCAGGACACCCAGCAACCCTTTGTTGCCCTCCACTACACCGACGCCTCCGGCCGCCCTGCAAAGCTGCGGGCCACCGCCACGCACCTCGTCCACCTCGCCGCCTCAGAGCTGCCGCTCTCCGCCGCCGCGACGCAGCTGCCGCCCGGCGGGTTTGCGCGGCGGGCGGACATGGTGGCCGTGGGGGACCTGTTGGTGGTCAAATCTGCGCGGCTGGGGTCAAACGGGGGCCCTGTCTTCTACTCCGCACGTGTCTCCGAAATCACCATGTGAGCGGGCGGGGCGGCCCCAGGGTGCTGGGCCGCAGGGGGTCGAGCGTGCAAAGTTGCAGCTGTTGCAGCCGAGCAGCAGCCAGTGTTTCGAGGCAATCGGGGAAGCTGGGCTGCAGGTGTAGTTGCGGCTAACAGTCTGAAGTCTGGTTCAAGTGCACACGCACCGCTGCACACAACACACATGAGGGTGCACGAACACATGCGTGCTCATTCGCACGCCGATGCAAACCTAATGAAACGTGACGTGCCGGCGCGCAAACTGGTGGACCCGCACACCCGCACAAGCACAAGCATACACACCACACACACACACACACACACACACACACACACACACACACACACACACACACACACACACACACACACACACACACATGCTACTGACTTTCCGATCTACGCCGCAGTGAGGAGCACGTGGGCGCGTTTGCCCCGATTCTTTCTGACGCTGGGCTGCCCATCGTGGATCGCGCTGTGGCCTACTCTTGGTCCCACCTGCCGCCTTACGACCCCCACCCAATGCAGAACATTGGCGAGTACATGAGGTGAGGGTGCTGGGTCGCAGGGGTCCGCAACCATGACGTTTATTATGTGGGGGGTTAGGGGGCGTGCGCAGCAGCGGATTGGCAGCCTTTGACCGCCGGCACCCTGGCCGCGGCCAAGTTTGTGGAAATGAGTAAGGCCAGGATGGCGCGAGCGGCCTAGGGCAGCAGCCAATGGGAAGTTTGCATCCCACTGAGGAACCTTCTCATGTGCTCCCAGCCAACCCAAACGCTGACGAGACACAGCGTGCATATCAGACATATCACAAATAAGCACTGCCTTGCAAAATCTGATTCCCCTATTCGCGCAAAATTCCAGGCACGTTCGTCTTTTCACGGACTACTTCGAGTCCGTCCAGTCTGGCTGCGAGGGCTTGGACTGCCCCTGCCTGGACTCTCCGGCGGACGCGGGCGTGCCCTGCGTGCGGCTCTGGGACAGGCTGGCGGATGTGCCAAAGGGCAAGAGCGACTTTGCCCAGAGGTGCGCCCCCCCCCCCCAAAAAAAACTCCAGGTCACAGCCATCTTGTGGCGAACGAGTAATGCATGGTGCCCGGCAGCAAGGGGGTGGCTGCCGTGTACTTTGCTTGCTTTGCCCAGGACCGCTGCCAGTCACTCTGGGCCGTCAACAATGCAAAGAGCGCAGAACTTCTCACCCAAAGTCCCGCCTTCCTACGTCATGCAGGACCATCGATGTGTGGTCTGCCGCACTCGCCCAGGGCCGCACCTTCTGGGACTACGAGGCAGGCATCAGCCTGGCCCGCCTGTGGGAGTCCAGCCCGCTCATCCAATGGCTGGAGAAGAAGGTATTCCGCGCACGCCCCCACACGGTCGGCATCCTCGCCACCTCTTGGCACATGGCCCGGCCGCAGCGCGCGGACGGATACGGTGGCGCAGAGTACAGCGGCAGCGGGGCCAACGTGGCCATGGGAGTGCCCGCGGCGCAGCCGGCATTCATGCTGGGGCCTGGGGACGATGCGGTGGGGGTATCAGCATCATGAGGCGGCGGAAGGCGGCCCAGCAGGCGGCCGCAGCCGGCAGCCCCAGCAGGGTGTGTGTGTGTCTGATCATTGGAACGCGCGGGCCGGCGAGGCGGTTGGTGCTGGCCAGGTGCCTACCGCGTAGCAGCGCCCTTTTTCAGAATTGTGGCTTCTTGTTCATGGGCGTTGAGTGCCGCTGCAGGCCGTGTCACATTCGGCACAATGCCCTGCACGCGTCGCGCTGCAACCGGCATATGTCCAGGGGGACATGAGGACCCCTGGGCAGGTCTTCCTACTCAGGATTTGTTGGGACGCCACGGTATCTCGGTTCATTACAAAGGTCCTGCGGCGCGCCACCACTCCTTTGATATATATATCATATGCGTATATGAATATCCTATCGGGGATTCGGTCGTTGCACCCTTGCGCAGGCGTGGTGCGTGCGAACGCAAGACCTGCAGGTGTCGTGTGTGCATCCACCATTTCGCGAGCCGGACGGGGATTTCGACAAAGTCACCATCCCTTGCACTCCAACCCATCATGCGCATGGCGGCACGCGCGCACCAAGCGCAGGCCCGCCCTGCCCACGTGCCCCGCATGCGGGCGTGGACCTGTGTCGCCGACACAGGCTATCCCAGCCCCAGCCTGTCGAGCATCTGCCCTGCAGCAGCCCCCACAACCCATTGGATGGGAGCACGCATCCAATCAGACACGCGGGCTTGGAGCCAGCCCCTCTCAGGACTTGCCACACACCCTGGCACCCAGCCGTGGGAGGCCCCCTTCTCTGTTCGAACGCCACGCCTGTTGACGCACGCAGGGGCTCCCGCCCTGCATCCGCCGCGGCTGCAAATGTTTACACGGCCGCGACTGCTGGGATCCGTTGCTCCCCCCACCCATGCGTGCCTCTGCCTTCCGCTGTCTGCGGCCCGCGTGCGCGTCGCTGCTGCTTGTCGTTGTTTGCATTGGCTGGTGTCCTGCAGCCCCAACCGCTGCACACATCCTCTACATGTTGACGGTTGTGTTGCCAGTGCCTGCTGCCGGGCTCGCCGAAGCTCTGATGGCTGTCAGCGTGCCTGGCGCACTGCGACTCGCCCTGTCGTGTACTCTGGAGGGTTGCACGCGCGAGGCGCTGTCAGGTATTGACTGTGTACATAAATTGTGCTTGGCGTGGATCCCCTCGCAGCTGGGTCTCACGCATCGCACCAGTGCGCATCCAGGTCGTGCCGCTCACCTGCTCTTGCGACTCGGCCCCGTTTTCATGGCGCCGATGCGGCATGAACGCGCACTCACACGTACACACGCACATGCGTGCGTACCGGGCACGCGCGCCCGACGCGCGTGGCAACGCCCTGCGCATGCAGCCGCCTGTTGGCACAAACGGTGATCTGGGGCGGCCTGCACAGCCCAGACCCAGGCACCACAGCTCATCAGTCTCTACTCTAGAATCCAGTGGGCCCTCTGCTGCCCTGCTGTTTGACAATTGCCTGACGGTCCACTGTCCCTGCGAACTTCTTTTGCCTTTGTGAAACAAGCATCTTTGAATGTGCGCGCATCACGAACGCAATGCTTGAAGGCCCCAAGGCGGCGCGCGCTCAGCTCCACGCCCGCTGGGTTTCAGCGGCGCGCGACCTCGCAGCACGCAGCCTTTTCAGGAAGAATCTGTTCCTCGCGACAGCAGTACCAGCGCTGCACACACGCACATGCTCGCTCGCACTGTTGTCTTGCAAGCGAGCGCTGTCTCCACGAGCCTGCTGCCTTGTGGCTGGCGTGGTGTGCCAAGCCGTCATGGCCAAAAGTACCCAACCGTATTTACGCTCTCACGCCACCTCACAGGCCGCGACGGCCACATTTGCGAATCATTGTGCACCAGGCACTGCTCTTGTGAACCATCAGGACTTGGGCTGACCAATCACCTCGCGAATCACTGAACGCCTCTGGCGCCCGCACTCTTGCGCATGGACTGCTGTCCTACGGGGGAAAAGTGGTGGTGCAGGGGCGCCTGCAGGCTGTCGGCTGCACTTTCCGCGGCGTGAGCGCCCTGCGGGGCTGGCCCCATGCATGCAGCGCCGGCCCCATGTATGCGGCACCGTCCCACTGGTCATGGCATCGGCTCTGGCAGCCTGGCAGCCCTGCCTTGGACGGTTCTGTCATTGCTTTGGACGGTTGAGCCCATCAGTCTGGTCTTTTCACATTCAATAAAGTTTGTGTCTGGTAAGAATTGGTACTTGCGAAGGAGTCTAGCACCGAAGAAAAGGTGGCATTCAGGTGGCATATGAAATACGTTGGAGCCAAACTATGCAAACCCTTGGGCACCCCTGTGTAGTTGAAGGGTGGGCAGTGTTGTGGCTCTAGGCGGGGGCAGCCCCAGGGTAAGCGGCACGCCCGCGCTGCCAGCAGTGGATGGTTGCCAGCAATAACACAGGTGGTGCCCCACCTCTCAAGCAGGTCAGATAGTGTGCCGAGGGGGGACTCTCGGACGCCGTCGGCATGTGCAGAAGGTGTGAGCATCCAGTTGGCGGGAGAGAGGTGGCGAACACAGCTTCTGTAGACACACACACACACACACACACACACACACACACACACACACACACACACACACACACACACACACACACACACACATTCTCTCATGATTTGTGAAGCTCCGCATTTTCGTGTGTCTGCCTGCCTTCCCGTTGCCGAGGCGTCTGGCTGCCATGCAGGACATACAGTAAAGGTAAGCGCTCGCTCACCAACAGCAGCGTTTGCTGCTGCTTCAGTGAGGCAGCAGGCCTGATAGCAGGTGGCACTGTACTGCTGGCAGGCATCACAAGACACGTGCTAGGTGGCCACGGCCCTTGCTGCTGCCCCTCTGCACGCACCCGCAAACCGATGTGCGCTTGCAGCCGCTGGCTGCACCCAGACCAGTCTCTCAGTGCACATCACGCACTGAGCATCTTATTTGCTCTACGGCTCAACACCACCTCAGCAGTTTTTTTATGGACTGAGTCGTCAAACTATTTTGACTCTAGCCGCTCACCGTCAGCACTGTTTTTCTCAGCCCGCACACCTCAGGTTCCTGCTCATGACTGCTGCCGCAGTTGGCATCGATGGTGGTTCAGTTTGACAAAATTGCTGTCGCCGCTCACAAAAGTCACACACAGCACGCTTCTGCAACGTGATCAGGGTGAGTTTTGGTTGACATGCCACCCAACACCTTGAAAACTCTCCAGGTCATACTGGCTGCCAGGTCGCGGCATCGCTGTCCGGGCCTGCGCAACCCGTACAGCAACCGGAGCGGAGCAGCAACCAGGCCCTAGTCACCCTACGACCCGCCCCCCACTTATTTCTTTCCCGTGTCTTGCACTGGTGCACGACAGGCAGGACAGCATCGCTACAGTCTCAAGCAGCACAGACAACTGGACACTGCTGTACTGCCCTGCCTTACCGCAACCTGCCTTAATGTATATAAGCAACGCCCTGCGCCTAAATGCCAACTGACACCCCAACATCATGATTTGTCATCATCAATCACCGTGCGTCAGCGCCACGTGCCATGATCTCATCCATCCACTCGCGAGCCGCCTCCGCGTCGCCCGTGTTGCAGGCGCGCCGCAGCCGCCGATAGGTCATCCCCAAGAAAGCGTGGCAGCCGGCCGCGCCCCGCCGTGCCTCCGCCTCCACCGCGCGGCACACCTGGTTTATGCGCGCGGCGGGCAGGCCCAAAGCCTCCGCGGCGCGCTCAACCTCGACAAAGGCCGACGTTGCGGCCTCGGACAGGGCGTCCGGGGCGGTGATGAGGGGTGCCGCGATCTCGCGCAGGCCCAGAGCCATCAGGCCCGCAGACACTGCAGCACCAGCACCCCCGCCGCCGCCGCCGCCGCCGCCGCCACCGCCGCCGCTGCCGGCCCCGCCGGGCCTGGCAACAACAATGGCAGGCCGCTGCGCCTTGGCTTGCTTGGCGCCCCTGACAGTTTTCCTCGTCGCCGCTGGCCCCTCCCGACGCCGGCGCGCCAGCGATGATGGCAGCGGAGGCAGCGCCTCCTCCTCTGTCACAAGCTGCTCCTGCATGCCCTGCCGGCCCCGCTGAGCTGGAGGCAGGCAAGCCTCAAGCAGAGGGCCTTCACCCTGAATCCTGTCCTGGCTGCCAGCAACCACGGCGTCAACGCGGCCAGCACTGCCAACCACGGTCGCCTGCTCTTCTTCCGCTTCCTTGCCGTGCTGCTGCTGCTGCTGCTGCTGCTGCCGCCGCCGCCGCCGCTGCCGCTGCTGCCGCTGCGGTGACTGCGAGCCCTCCTGCCCCCCCTGAGCTGGAGGCAAGCGAGCCTGTTGCTGTGCGTCTGCGCCTGTGGCCGTGTCCATGCCCTCAGATTCATCCATCTCAGAAGCACTGTTGGAAGCGCCTGACTGCGCCACCCTCGGCTCCTCTTGCACCTGCTCGCTGTCACCACGCCGCCGCCGCCGCCGCTGCAGCTGCTGCAGCTGCTGCTGCCGCCGCCGCCGCTGCTGCTGCTGCTGCGGCGGCGGCGGCGGCGGCGGCGGCGGCGGCGACGGCGTCATTGGCGGTGGCTGCTGGTGTTCAGCTGCCGTGCATGCACACTCAGCTGCCGCGTCTGCAGGTTCTGTTGCATGCACCTCAATCACGCCCGGCGCTGAATGCCGGTACCGGGTGATGATAGAGCCGAGCGCCAGCGGCATTGGCCCAAGGGATGTGCAAAGACGAAACACACTTGGGCGAATATTGCTTTGTTTGTGCGAAACAATCTTTCCCTGTAGTAACCCTCCAAGGGGCTGGCCGTGCACCACGGCTTGCACTGCGATAGCCATTGGAAAGGAGGCACCGGGCCACCAGGCCGCCACCATGGCCGACGGAAGGTCCATGCGCCGATGGCGCTGGATGGGAGCGGTGAAGAGTTTCCTCTTGGGTTATGTTATGTGCGGGGAGCAATCGGGGGCGGGTGTGGAGGGTTGGTCAGAAGCTTTGGATATGATCAAACGGCTTAGCACAAATAAGCAGCCACCAAGAGATACAAGGCAGCCCGAGTCCTGCAAGGCTTGCCATTGGCCATGTCACACATTAGACCCCGACAAAGATTGGAACTCAACACGGAACTTGGAGTTTTGAATCTATATCCCTCGATCGCCTCACCACTGGCCAGGCATCTTCTTCCAGATCGAGTGTATCCAGCACCCGCCAGGGTGCACGGCGCCGGGGAAGCCCCGCCGCTCCACCCATTTGCAGGCTGGACACGAGCACGTCGATCGCCGCAGCCGGCCCCGCCGCGCGCCGAAAGGCGGTGACGCAACAGCCGACCAGCTCAGGGAACCGCAGGCCTCGGCTTAGGCGGTGTGCAGCATTGATTCGGCTGGCAAACCGCGGCCCCCAGGGCTGCCCGTCCACCTCCAGTTGCAGGCTGACGTCAAATGGTAAGGGTGTGCCTGGGAACCATGCTGCCACCAGGGCCTTGGGGACCCTCAACAATCCGAGATCCCAGTTATACGTTTGGAAATTCTGGCACTGCAATGCACGGGCGTCCACAGCAGGTTTGGTGCGTGGAGTGTGTGTGAATGGGGCCGGTGGAGGTAGGCAGTCGGGACAGAGTGGCGTTGGTGCGTGCGTGCGCTGCGCTTGGCATTGCTGCAACCAATCCCTGCCTCGTACTGTTCCAATCTTTGCCATAATCTCTGCCATAATCTCTGCTCCCCTGGCCTCTTGTTGTCTTCGTCCCTGCCCCACAGCATCAATGAAGGAATTTTGAATGCTTGATTCTGGGACTCTCACCGACTGCCACAGAGCAGCGCCCTCTCCAGCGCCGCCACCATGAGCTGCGGGCTGCGGCGGCTGCAGCGCCGCTCCATAACCCCGCTGCTCAGGCGCCGCTGCGCCGCTGTTGCGACGCCCGCTTGCGCCCTCTGGCCGCCCCTCCAAATCATCCTCGGACCCGCTGCTCGGCTCGCCGCTGCAATCAGGCGCAAGACCGCTGTCGCAAACGCCGCCGCCGTCGCCGCTGCTTCTGCCTCCGGTGCCCTGGCTGCCATTGGGCGCCGGCGCCTCCTCCCGCGCCTCGAGTGCGGCGCAGCGGCGGATGCGTGCGTTGGCAGTCATCGCCGCCCTCCGCCCTGGGCGGGCTCGCGGCTGCGCGGGAGCTGCTGCATCTGCATGCAAGGGGCTCTGTGACGAGGGCTGGGCAGCGGCCTGGTGCTGGGACCCGACTGCATGGCTGGCGCCGGGCAGCATGTCCACGCGCGAACGCTTGCAATTGTCCGCCGCGCCGCCACTACTGTTGCCTTTGGCATGGGTGGAAGTTTCCTGCCCGTCATCTATTTCGAGGCTGCGCTTGGAACGCATGGCTACACATGAGGCAACCTCGAACCCGTGATCTGACAAGGAGGGCCTTCGGGTTTGCGACTCTTTAAAAAGTTGTAGCAGCTTTGTAAGGGGGACTTTCTACCACCACCATTCATCGCGACAAGTGGAGGCAGCGCGCGCCGAAGAGGTAGCAAAGGTGCAGCATGCTGGGAAGGCGACCCCTTGGGCGCATGGCGCATGGCTTGCTGTTACCGCATGCTCGCAGACTCGCATACCATTTCCTAGCAAACCCACTGGCCTATGGGCGTGCGTCGATAGCAAGCCATCCCAGCAGACGTCTACTGATCTGTGGGCAGGCGGCAACAGCAAAGCGTCCGCTGTTGGCCCAAGGCGCTGCCCTTACCGCCGCTGCCCGCCTGGTCGTCTAGGGCCCTAAGGAGCCACCTCTTCAATCAAAGACGAGTGCGAAATGTTTGAGTTCTTGTGCAAACGACATGTCGCAGCAGTGGAGGCGCCCACAGCAGCAGCAAACATGTGGATTAGGATTAGGATTAGGATTGTTACAGCGTCCCGCGGTGGCCCGCTCCTGGAGCCATCCAGGCTCTTGGGATTGTACACTGAAGCACCAACGTTGTGTGACTGAGGTTCAGGTGGCTACCGTGCGCCGTTCAAAGCAGGCGTGCACGAAGGCCCCCAATGTGTGCTGATCCTCACTGCGCGCAAAGGCGCGCATGCGCGCCAGTGAGAGGCCCAACGGCAGCAGAGAGGCGGCTGGCTAGAGCAGGTAGCTACGGGCTGACTGCCTCCCTAATATAAAGCACGTCAGGCTCTCCGCGTTCTATGTCCCAGCCTGTGTCCCTGCTGACGTGTCGTTTGGCTGACGTGCAGGACAGCCAATGCAAAGCGATCGCCAACTGGTGCGCCGGCTGCTGCTCTGGCAAGGCAGCAGGCCCGGTAGCGGGCGGCGCGTTAGTTGTACTGCTGGGGAGCATCTCATGGGACTTGCGGACCAATAAGCCCTTCCTGCTGCTCCTCCGCACCAGATAATCTGGTGTGCGCCTGCAGCTAGCCCAGACAACCAGTGCACATCACTGAGTATCATGCGAGACGGCGCAGTGCCACCTCAGCCTGAATTCCAGCCGCGCGGGTCACCTATTTCCTCTCTCAGTCGCACACCCATCAGGTTCTTTCCCTTGTTTGCTGCTGCTGCTGCTGCTGCTGCTGCTGCTGCTGCTGCTGCTGCTGCTGCTGCCGCTGCTGCTGCTGCTGGGGCCGCTGCTGCCGCTTCTGCGGCTGCTGCTACTGCCAATTCTGATATTGCTGGTGTCTTGACAGCCACGCTGTCGGTACTCGTCAAAAGCCACTCGCAGCACACTTTTGCAATCAGGGTGTATGTGGATAGACAGGCTCACAATCACCTCGAAACCCCGTACGTCACAATGGCTGCCGGACACTTGCGCGAGACAGGCAGCAGGGCAGCAGCTTCCCCAATCTGCAGCAGTACGGTGAACAAAGAGACCGTTGACCTACCATGCCTCACCACACAAACCGCCGTGATGCCTTCCGGCAACACCCAGCGACAGGCGGCCGCCCCGCCGAACTACAATTGTTTCCTGTCGTTCACTGCCCCACAGCGCCGCGCGCCACGATCTCGTCCATCCATGCATGAGCCGCCGCCGCGTTGCCCGCGTTGCAGGCTCGCCGCAGCCGCCGGTACGTCATCCCCAAAAAAGCGTGGCAGCCAGCCGCACCTCGCCTCGCCTCACCCTCGACCGCACAGCAAACCTCGTCCACGCGCGGGGCGGGCAGGCCCAGCGCCTCGGCAGCGCGCTCAACCTCGAAAAATGCCGAGGTTGCGGCCTCGGCAAGGGCGTCCGGGGCCGTGGTGAGTGGTGCCGCGATGTCGCGCAGGGCCAGAGCGATCAGCCCCGCAGACACTGCTGCACCAGCGGCGTCACCGCCACCGTTGCCGGCCACGCCCGGCCCGGCCACAGCAACGGCCGGCTGCTGCGCTCCGCCTCTGCCGGCGTCCCCAGCTGTTGGCCTTACCGCCGGCCCCTCATCCTGCCGGCCCGCCAGCGGTAGTGGCGACGGCAACCATGCCTCCTCCTCCGTCACGAGCTTCTGCTTCGCGGCCTGCTGCCCCCACTGAGTTGGATGCTCGGCTTCCTCAAGCTCAGCGCCTGATTGAATTTTGTCCTGGCTGCCGATGACCTTGGTTTCAGAGCCGACGGCAAACTCAAACACAGCTGCTTGCTCCCCTTCAACTTCCTCCCGGACGTGCTGCTGCTGTCGCAGCTGCCGCCGCCCCTGCTGCTGCTGCTGCCGCTGCCGCTGCCGCTGCTGCTGCTGCTGCTGCTGCTGCCGTCGCAGCTGCTGCTGCTGCTGCTGCTGCTGCTGCTGCTGCTGCTGCTGCTTCTGCTGCTGCTTCTGCCGCTGCTTCTGCCGCTGCTTCGGCAGCGGCTGCGAACCCTCTTGCCCACGTTGAGGTGTAGGCACGTGAGCCTCCTCTTCTGCGCCTGCACCTTGGGCCCTTTCATTGCCCTCCGCGTCCTCCACCTTGAACGCGCCGATGGCAGCGCCTGGCCGCGCTGCCCCGGGCCCCTCTTGCACCTGCTGGTTGTCACCACGCTGCTGCTGCTGCTGCTGCTGCTGCTGCTGCTGCTGCTGCTGCTGCTGCTGCTGCTGCTGCTGCTGCTGCTGCTGCTGCTGCTGCTGCTGCGATGGCGGCGGCGGCGGCGGCGGCGGCGACGGCGATGGCGGCGGCGGCTGCTGGCAAACGGGCACCGTGTGCGCGCTCCAAGCTGCCGCGTCTGTGGGTCCTGTTGCGTGCACCTCGATAACGCCCGGGGCCGACAGCCGGAAACGGGTGATGATGGAGCCGAGCGCCAGCGGCAGTGGTTCAGGAGACGTGCAAAGACAGAACTGTCTGGGGCGATCATTCTGATGTTTGTGCACAACGATCCTCCCCCGCAGCGCCCCTCCAAGGGGCTGGCCGTGCACGATGACTTGAGCTCTGATAGCAATCGGAAAGGACGCGCCAGACCACCAGGCCGCCACCATGGCTGACGTTAGTCTGAGGCTGCCGCGCCGAGTGCGCATGGCCGCAGCGGTCATACGGATGTTCTTGGGTCATGTGCGTTGAGCAACCAGCAGATGATGCAGATGATTGGTTAGAATACTTTGATATCAAGCGGCTTAGTGCAACTAATCAGCCACAAAGTGCATATAGTTGAATAGTATCCGAGGCAACCCACGCAGGTCCAGCAAGGCTTGCCAGCGGCTGCAATACCTCGCATATTTGGCGACCCAGACTCTGGTTTGAACATCAGAGACATGGAATTGAGCTTTTCAAAACCAATGCCTCACCACTGGCCAGGCATCTTCTTCGAGATCGAGCGCATCCAGCGCCCGGGTGGTTGCACGTCGCTTGGGGACCCCCGCTCCCCCTGTTTTCAGACTGGACATGAGCACATCCAACGCAGCAGCCGGGCCCGCCGCGCGGCGAAAGGCGGTCATGCGGCAGCCGTCCAGCTCAGGGAACCGCAGTCCTTGTCTTAGGCAGCGAGAGGCATCAACGCGGCTGGCGAAGCGCGGCCCCCAGGGCTGCCCGTCCACCTCCAGCTGCAGGCTGACGTCAAATGGTAAGGGTGTGCCTGGGAACCATGCTGCCACCAGGGCCTTGGGAATCTTCAACTTCCCGCAAGCCCAGTCGTCCACGTTGAAAGCCTGGAACTGAGATGTGCGGGCGTTCACAGCAAGCTTGATGTGAGGCCATCAGAGGGTTGCGGTTGGGACGAAGCAGCATTGGTGCGCGCGGGCAGCACGCTTGACACCGCGCGGACGTCTCGCCCAAGGCCTCCCTTGAGCAATCTGAAAGGCTTGATATTGAAAACTCACCGCCGGCCACAAACCAGCACCCTCCCCTGCGCCGTCACCACGTGCTCGGGGCTGCGGCGGCTGCTGCATCGCCGCTCCGCCTCCCTGCTGCTCCGGCGCCGACGGGCCGCCGCCGCGATGCCTGCCTGCACCCTCCGGCCGCTCCTCCCCATCATCCTCGGACCCGCTGCTGGGCTCGCCGCTGGCATCAGGCGTGAGGCCGCTGTCGCATGCGCCCCTGCCGCTGCTGTTGCTGCGCCCGGTGCTTCTGCTGCCATCGAGTGCCTCCTCCCGCTCCTCGAGGGCGGCGCAGCGCCTGATGCGCGCGTTGGCGGCTTGCGCTGCCACCCGCCCCGGGCGGGCCTGCGGCTGCGGGGCAGCTGCTGCATCTGCGTGCAAGCGGCTCTGTGACGGGGGCTCAGCGGCGGCCTGCTGCTCTGCCTCGGCAGCCTCGCTGACGCTGGGCAGCACATCTGTGCGCGCGCGCTTGCCATGGTCCGCCGCGCCGCCACTGCTTGCATTAGCATGGTTGGTGTACTCCTGCCCCTCATCAACCTCGAGGCTGCGTTTCGAACGCATGGCTGCAGACGAGGAAACGTCGAACCCGTGATCTAGCACGAAGGGCCTGCGGGCTTGTGACTGTATATAAATTGTATCAGCGCACTGTAACTGTGTCTTAAATTGCACCACAACCGTTCAACACGACAAGTGGCGGCAGCACGCACCAAAGGGGCAGCAGGGGTGGCCTTGGAACCCCCACATGATCGCAGACCGTTAGGGACGCATGGCGCAGAGCAGTCTCTTGGACACGGACCGGCATTGTTCTGCTGCACCTGCCTCACATCAACAGCGCTGCACCTCTGGCATCTGGGCAATCGTTGCTGGTTTATCAACTGTTTGAGTAAGCCCTGCCTGTGCACTGGTATGATACAAGGGCCCCATTGCTTCCATTCTGCTGTGTGCAGCACGAAGCACCAAAGCCCAATGTCCAAGCTGCGGTATGAAGGTGTCCTTTGGTTATGGTTTGTTACTGCTGTTCCATTGTGAGCAAAGCTCCGCTGGACCCAGGCAGTACAAATGTGTAATCCACGGCGCCATCCTTGAGACGGGACGCGCTGACCTGGAACACCCCAGGGTCCGATGGCTGCATCTCCCCATCCGAACCTATGGACTGCCCGCCCATCGTCGCCGCGCCCTGCGCCGACAGCCCCTGCGGTCCCGCCGCCGCCCTGGCCGCGGCCGGGCAGCCGCCCCGCCCGCAGAACCCCGAGCCCTCCGCCAGCGCCGCCAACGCGTCCGCGCCCGCGCGGCCGGCGGCGCCGCCGCGCGGCAGCAGGAACTGCAGCGCCGCGTCCCCGTACGCCGCGTCCGCGCCGCCGCCCGCCGCGAGCCGCAGGCGCACCTTGCAGGCGCCGCCCGCGGGGCCCTTGTTTAAGAGGACGGCCCGCATCTGGTCCGCGGGCGCGCCCGCGGGCGCGTCCCCGGGGGCCGCGAGGGCCCAGAGCTTCACTTTGTCGCAGCCGGCGCCGGCCTCGGCGGCGGAGACGGGCGCGAGGAACGCGGGGCCGTCCGCGGTCGCGCGGGCGAAGAGGAGGTAGCCGGCCCACGGCGCCTTGGCCTGCGCGGGCAAGAGGCGTCGGACGGGTCAGTGGAGGGGGTCTGGCGTTTACCCAGTGGGCAGCAAGGGCCGCCCTGCTGCAGATGTGGGAGGCGGGATGACCAAGCCAACGCACACAATCAGTCGATTGGTGTGTGAGTAGGACAAGCGGCTGCTTTAACAGCAGCGCGCCGGCAAAAATCAAGGGCCCCGGCGCAGCTGCAGGACCGTCACAGCTGCGACTGCCCTTCCTCCACTTGCCCCCACTCGCACCGCGACCGCGTTCGTTTGCGCGGCGCTTCCTCGGGGGCAGTTCCATCTACAACCCATCTACAATCCATCGTTCCTTCCCGCATCAAACAATTGTGCCCGCTCAACCCCTCGCGCACACCCAACCGCCCCCCCCTCACCTCTGGATATGTCTCCCTTTCCCCGTCCGCCCCTTTGCGATAGCGCGTCTCCACAGCCATGTTATAGCACGGCCAGAAGGCGCGGCCCTTGGCGCCCTGCTGCTGGCCGCCCGGGGGGCTGCCTGCAATGCCCCAATGAAGATGCACGCCAGGGGCGCCTGTGGGGTGGCGGGTCGGTCGGGGGTCTGGATTCAGCAGGCAGGCAGCAGCAGCCATCGATTGCGCGATGGGAGGGCAAGCGGCGTGCGTGAATCAGGCAGGCAAGCGCAAGGTTGCCCGCTCAGAGACCTGTTGTTGATTGCGGTGCAGTGTGCCAGCAAGGGCACTGCAAGGACGCCTGTGGGCAGCCCGGGCCCACCCTAGAGCACCTGCCCTTGCCCTGCCGAGTCATTCCTGATAACCCTCACCTGACGCCGCCATCTCAAACGCGAAGTCCGCAGTCCAGAGCGCCGCCGCGAACGCGTTGCTCATGCCCGGCAGTCCGCAGTGGAACATGGAGTTCGCCTCCGTCACCCGGACTGGCAGGCGGTAGCCGGCCGCGGACTGCAGGGCTTGGTACTCGGCGATCGCCTCTGTGGGGCCAAGCATCGGTCAAGAATTGGTCATGGCGGGCGTGAGCGAGGGGCACGGCGAGGCCGGGGTTCAGGGTTTCGAAGCAGGATGGTGTGGATAGAGGGCCCTCCTGGAACATGCCCGCTACTTGAATGCCAGAAGCTGTTGGGAGCGGGAGTACTTGTCTTGACTAGGACTGCTTCCTGCCGGGGCCAAGGTAGTGTGCTTGTTGCAGTCAAGAAAGCGGGAATGATATATGAAATGGTGCAAATGTGCCTGCCTTCCCATCCAAATCCGATTCCCGAATCCAGCGCTAGCTCACCCCGCATGAGGCCTTCGCTCAGTAGGTGCTGGGTGGTGAAGCCTTCCTTGAATTTGGGGTACCAATGCACGGCGATCTGGGTGGTGATGGAGGCGCGTGGACGGCATTTCATCATGCTAGTGGCACATGCTCATATGTGTGTGCGCGCGCACACGCACGCGCGTGCGCGCGTGCGTGTGTGTGTGCGCGTGTGTGTGTGTGTGTGTGTGTGTGTGTGTGTGTGTGCGTTTGGGTGTGTGTGTGTTTGTGTGTGTGTGTGTGCGCGCGTGCGTGCGTGCGTGCGCATGCAAGCGTGTGCATGTGTTTCTGGGGCAGACAAGTGAGGAGGAGATGAGCGAAGTGCTGCAGGGATGCCGTGGTGCTGCGCGTGCAGAAGCAGCAAGGCTGTCCCCGAGGGCGAACGCCGCCCGGTCCCCAACCTCTCGCAGGTCCCCTGCCTCTCGCCCCCCCGCATGCGCCCCCCCC